AGTCTTCTCCATCTTTCTGTTTACAAACCAAGTCACTGTGGAGAGCCTGTCAGTACCTCTCTGCCTTCTGCCCCTGGGAGGAGAACTGACCTGCCTGCTCCTTGGCCACAGAATCCCTTAGTATGTGGGACCCGCCCTTCCCCAAGAAGCCCTGTCTGGGTTCCTCTTCCTCCGCTGCCTCTGACAAGGGTGCCCTCTGCTTGGCTATAATACTCCTACAGGCCATGTGGCTGGCAGTAAGTCACTGTCCTCTCCAGGATCAATGTTCTCATCCTCAAAATGGAGAAGATACTGCCTCTCTCATGAACTCATTTTTATGAGAATGAGGTAGAATAATGATAATGAGCACAAAATGCTGAGCTCATTTCCTACCTTATCCTCTCCTTCGGTCAGGATCACAGCCTCTTGACTCCTGTGCTTAGTGGGGCTCCTGGTCCCCTACCTTTCCTGGGGAGCTTCCTGGCACACAGCAGTCCTCCCCTGGGAGGCAGGCATAAAGCCCCGCTGTATGCAAGACCATCTAGCATGCCATACCCCTAGATCCCCAGCTCATTCCTGTCTTCTCTCTGCTTCCGGTACTGACAATGTGAGCTCCAATGTCACTTCTACTAGCTGTGTCCTAAGACACCCCACAAGCCCCAGAGCATCATCTCAACTCATTGAGATTGTTTGGACCCAAGGGTGGGGACTGCCCACTTCATCTCAATGTCCCCAGTGCTTAGGCCACCCCTATGTGAGATGAAACGTGGGAGCATCAGCGGGAGGAGGGTTTGGAAGGGGACACAGCCCTGATCCTGATGCCTTTGCCTGTCTGTCCCAGGAGGATCATGCTATGGCCCAATCACAGGAAGGAAGAGGTGACAGGTGCCTGGGCTATATGGGAAGCAGGGTCGGAACAGCTCCAGCCCTTAAGGACAGTCACTTTCTGGGCAGCCACTATCTCTTTAGGGCATGCTTTCAGGCACTCATTTCAGCTTGTGTGGTCTGTGTGTGTGTGTGTGTGTGCCGCTGACCCCTTCCTTGATGATGAGGACCCATATTCCTTCCCTGTTTCCCTCAGGTCTACAGGAAGAGGTTGGGGCGGGGGAGGAAGGAAGGCCAGGACCCTTGCCCCACATTTACCTGAGCTGCAGGTTCTTCATGAAGTCCTCCATGGACACTTGGTCCAAGAGCACAAAGTCAGGCTTGCCATACTCAGGACCCTCCTCATCTTCCATTCTGCCTGATGGAAACACTCAGGCCAGGATACTCCGACCTTTCTGTGCAAGATGTAGACAGGAGGGGAAGCCTGGAGAGGCCCAGCCCCCTGCCAGACTCCTACAGCATTGTGGTAAAGTAGGAAGTGGGTTCTGGCCCTGGGAGGGCGGCCCTGCCCATTTGCTGCTCCCTCCCCAGGGGTGCTTGAGCTGCTTCCTGCTACCAGAGCAGGAAAGCCTGTGTTTAATGGGTTCTCCCTACTCTGGAGGGGTCCTTGCTGCCCTTCTCAAAAGCTCCTATTTAACCCCCAAGCGGAAGAGACTCTGTGGGTTGGTTTCCAATCCTGGCTGCATGTTAGGGTTTGCTGTGGGACTTTAAAGAAAAATTTTTTGACATGGTCATGGTCACCCAGCCACACATATTTGTCAACACAGAACTGAAAACTAAATGAGCCCAGCATGGTGGTGCATGCCTGTAATCCTAGTAACTCTAGAGACTGAGCCTGGAGGATCACAAGTTTGAGGCCAGACCCAGCAATTTACCAAGACCCTGTCTCAAAATGAAAAATTTAAAAGGATTAGAGATGTAGCTCAGTACTCAGTAGTAAAGTGCTCCTGGGTTCAATTCATAGTCCCTCACCCCACCCCTACAAAAGAATTCAATAGAGGTGAAATTTACTGCATATACATTGTATCTTAACACAAAAATGAAAAAGGATGCTGATACCTGAGACTCTGGGGTAGAGGACCAAACAATAGCATTCTTTAAAGTGCCTGCTAGCCAAACAGGGTATAAGATACAAAGTCTTCCTGTCTACCTTATAGAGATTCCAGTGGTGGGGATTCAAGTTGCTGAAATTTCCCACTTTATCAACCACGGAGGGACACAGGCCCCTATGAAGTTCTCTATGGAGGCCAGTTGCAATAAGACTTATGTCCATGTCTTTTGCTTTGTCCTTCCATCCAGCCTTCATGGACGGTAGATGAGGTCATACAGGCCTGGAGCCCTTAGGTCTCATCTCAGCACTCACAGATCTCAGCCTGTGGTCATCAAGGTATGAGGATGCAACCGCACATTTGGATAATGGCCCAGTTAGTTGGTCATGGCTCAGGTTTGTCTTCAACAGTACTACTGACTGAGGGGTCTGCTTGCAAGCACACAGGGAAGTTCTCTTTCAATCCTCCCTCAAGCAGGAAGTCTAGATGGCAGACTCCAGTATTCTCAAACTGGAGTCATTTGTGTACCATCTTGAGATTTGTTATATTCCAACACTTAACAATTTTTTCTCAATCTTTTCTCTTTTTAGGCTTTAAATTGTTTGCTAATGCAAGTTATTTCTTATCTCTATAAAATGCCTTAAAATGAAAGCATATTTAATAAAATTTTAAGGGTTTATCCAAGTACATGGTAAAACTAGGTACCATTAGTGATAAGGAGTCACTGGTCCCCCAAAATTCCCTGCTCCAGCCAGGCATGGTGATCAGCAGGTCTATAATCCCAGCTAGTCAAGAGGCAATAGAATTGATGGGTGCGTTGGCACATGCCTGTAATCTCAGTGGCTCTGGAGATTGAGGCAGGAGGATCTCAAGTTCAAAGCCAGCCTCAGCAACTTAGCAAGGCCCTAACTCAGGAAGACCATCTCTAAATAAAATATTAAAAAGGGCTGGGGATGTGGCTCAGTGGTTAAATGCCCCTGGATTTAGTCCCCAGTACCAAAAACAAAAAACAAAACAAAACAAAAAAAAACACAAAATAAAAATTTTAATAGAAGGACTATAGATTTAGCTCAGTGGTAAAGTACCCCTGGGTTCCATCCCCAGTACCCAGAGTAGGGGATCCCCATATCCAGAAATGGGGTTCTGACTTCACATTGGCAGGTATTTTTGAAGGGTTTCACAAACCTAAGCTCCAGTGTGGGGAATTCTTAGTCTCAGTCCCTTTTCAGTTTCACTTCTGCAACCCCCAAAGAATCAAGCAGACCTGGGTTTGTATTAATGATTTTAAGAATAATTGATGTAGGGACTGGAGTTGTAGCTCAGTGGTAGAGCACTTGCCTTGCAAGTGTGAGGACCTGGGTTGGATTCTCAGCACCACATAAAGATAAACAAATAAAAATAAAGTTCTTGTGTCCATCTACAACTAAAAAAAATTAAAAAAAAAAAGAATAATTGATGTAATTGAGTTTTAGTAAAACCCTAGGGACACTGAAGTCTGAACTTCACAAATTTTTCACCTGTCACAAAAAATATACTTTGAGGTTTTTTTCTTCCCCTATTTGAAAATGTCAAGACCATGTTGAGCTCACAGATTGGCTGTGGGTGGAGCTTAAACACTTTGAATGACCCAGGGTGTAACCACAGTCATGACTGTGCCTCTTCCACCCTGAAGGTTTGCACAACCATATGCCTCTTGTTGCCTCATTTGATTCCCAGGACCCATGCTACTGTTATTCTCATTTCATGTCTACTGAAGCCAATGTCCAGAGATGACATCACATGAAGGAAGTTCCCCCTGGGCCTTTCCAGCACTGAATTCAATGACTCCTACCTATTCTGACTTCAAGGACTGGGCAGTCAGTCTTTGGTCCTCAGCAAGCAGGGTAAGTGGTAGCCATGTGCAGCGTCCCCAGGGGATGCTTCTTTTAAGGTTAGTAGGCTGCCACCTACTCAAGCCTGCTGGGCCTGAGGCTCTAGCCTTGGCAGCAGTTTTATTAATTATCTGACCTAGATCAGTTTCTATAGACATCTTCCTCTGCAAGAGCCCCTATTGCCACAGCTGTGACTCCCTTGCTCTTGAATCCCTATACAGGACTCCTGCTGCTTACTTTGCAGCAATCCCTAGTGCCAGAAAAGCACCCTTTCTCAGTTCACGATTTAGGATTTGTAACCGAAATTGATTTTTACCTCATATGAGAATATAGATATGGTTGTCAGTAGTAGGGGAATGATTCCCAGCTGCCAGGAAACCCTACATGTACCCACATAAGCCACAAAGCTTACCCAAACCCAGAGCCTCCTGGAAGTGAGACCATCTCCATTTCCTGGAAGGCTACCAGGAGTTGCTGGTGTCTCCTGTATGAGGCTTCCTGACCCCACAAACAGCTCAGGGGGTCTAAATCAGTTCCTCGGTGAGGAAACTTACACCTTAAGGTACAGGCTTTTTTGTTTTGGTGTCATCTTTCCATGTATGGGTCAGGGACCTTGGGAGCTGACCTTAGGCACTAAGGTCAATGGCTAAATGTCAGGCCTTGGAAGAGATGGAGATCAAGCTGGATAACCTACCCCCTTGGGCACAACCTATGTGTGGACTGTTATCAGTTACTTCTCAACTAAAATAAGAGATAATCTGTGGCATACTAAGGATTTCACAGACCTTTTTCTTTTATAGTGCTGCACGTTGAACCGATGGGTGCTCTACCACTGAGCTATATCCCAATCCCGTCTTTTTTTTCTTTTAAATATTGAAGGTCTTGCTAAGCTGCCCAGGTTGGCCTTGAACTTGCAATATCCCTGCCTCAGCCTCCCAAGTCACTGGGATTATAGGCCTGCACAACCATGCCCAGGTATACTTACTTAGATTCTGACACTTGCTTTATGAACAATACCCAGCATGCCCCATCAGGTGTAACAGGTGGCACATGCACACAAAGTGATCATTTACAAGTGGTCATTTACAAGGTACAAGTATAGAACAAGACGAGACACTAGGGGCCCCTTTGAAATGAACAACTCCTTTGAGGGGCAAGTCTTTCTTACCTTTGCATTTGGCACATGGAAAGAACAAATAGAGGCTGGAGTGAATCACACATTTAAAACCATGTTTATTGAATATCTCATTTTTCATTTGGGAGATGCCAGAAGGGCCTGAGGCCCTTCAGCCAGGCTTATTCTAGAGGCAGAAAAAAATGGGGCCCAAACCTGGACCCAGAAAATTCTCTCAGACACATAGCCCAGGCCAAGAACAAGATACTGCTGAACCCTTTTAGAAGTACATGAGGGAAAAAAAAAAAACAGAAGTACACGAGGCTTCAAATCTGCTCAATTAAGGTACAAATTCTGCTTCACTTCGCACTAGATGTCAACATGGTCAGGTCAGCCAGGCCTTACTTCTCATTTTCAGTATCCATGTCATCTGTAAAAATGAAATTAGAAACGCCATGGAGGTGTATTATTAAGTGACGTTAACACATAAGTGGGGACTTTTATAAATGCCTTCAGCTCCCCAGGACAATTGCAACCAACCATCTCCTATTGTCACAAGTGGCAGTAACAAAGCTGAATCCTAGTTCCCAACTCCCAACCCCGCTTCCACAGTGATCTGAGACATTTCTGTGGCGCACATGTACAGCAGCCCATGCATGCCCTTTCCAGGCACACAACTGACTGAACACAGGTTGAATCCAAACCACAAAAGGCAGTCAAAAAACATCCCTAAGAACCAAAGCTCCACAAGTCAGACATTAGACAGTCCTGTGAACTAAAAGTCCTGTGAACCTATCTGGGACTCAAATGTCTGACTTGTAACAAGAAGGTCAGAGTTAATAATGTACTTACACTGCACAGGTGCCACAGACTAGCCTAGTAGCTACAGAAGGGATTCAGCTCTGGCATCCTGGGATCACTGCTGCTGAAACACCAAGGAACAGCAGGTAGCCTTCTGCTACATGCTGGGCCAGAGACACAGGAAGTAGAAGTTGTTAGGAACTGGAACGTCTATGATGCTCCTCCTTGCAGCTAACAAGGTAGCCTGCCAGTTTAAAACATAAAAACTCCCTAAGGACAAAGGACAGTTGATTCACAGCAAAAGCAGCAGACAGCACCAGCATTTCCCACCACCTCCCAAGCCCCAGTCCCTACATGACACAAAAGGGCAGTCAGAAGGTACCTGTACATACATGTTCTATGAGGCCTTCCTTTAGGATTGATACACACTCTTTTAACCCTCCAACAACTCCCTGGCACTCAGTTCCTTTGCTGAGTCCTTGGTTTTCCTGGCTTTGTCTTCCACTAATCTCTCAAGGCAGGATTCTTCTGTTACTCTTTGCTATTCTGGTTTAACTCCTACCTTTATTACCCCTGAACTTGCATTTTCAACTTTAAATATTCAATGACTTCCCTATCTTTTGCCACCCTCTCCCAAACTCCCATATAGACAAAAATGTTCTCTAATCTGTACAGTCCAACAGTCACTTGCCATACTAGTCTAAACTAGAAAATGAATTTTACATCTTATTTACTTTAACTATATGTGTATATGTCAAGCGGCTGCAACATTAGACTATGAAGGTCTATACAATGCTCAGCATAGCATACCGTTATCTGGAAAGGCGCAGTCAGTTGTCTGAAATTTCTATAACCTTGCTCTGGATAGGGCAGGGCAAGGCCTCAAACCATTTCAAAAGTGTTCTGGCAAGCACTGTAGGAATGCAACAGGGTCACTGCAGACCCAAGCACGCTGGAGGCTTGCTACTCACATTCACTGGCCCACATCCTCCACTCCCCAGGTGTCCCTTAGAACACTCTCCTGAGCACCCAAATCCCTTTCAAAGGTAGAGAACGAACAGACTATCGAGTTGAATTAGGTACACTGAGCTTGGCTCCAAAAGTCTATGGCTACAGATAACTCTAGCGAATGTTCTTTTATGGCTAAGGAATTAATGAAAGTTGGAAAAGGTAATGTTAATTAATACATCAGACAGGAGTTTTTACATTATTCTCTATCTAGGGTGGTGCTTCTTAAAATCATGACCACAGAAATAACCCATGTATCACCTAATTCTAGAAAAACAGGTTTTCCCCACCCCTATATATATTCAACACATATTTAATATCTTGGAAAACATTTCTGAGGTAGGATATAGCCTAAGACACCTCAGAAACACTTAATTACTCAGAGAAATGTGAGCCTTGGCGAAGCTGGGCTATTCACAACATGACTTACCATGACATCTTCCTGAAGAGCTGCTGTGGCTGTAAGCTCTTCTCCCACTTTGTGGGATCGGTCATCTGATCACGACTCCTGCCTAGATGTGGACAAATGAAGTTTCAGTTTGCGCCTTTAGGACACCATACAGCTGTAATCCCCAAATGCCTGAACCCTCTCTACAGCACCTTTTGAAGCGGGTCTCCCACGAGGTCACAGGTCCCAACCCAGGGGTGGGCTTAAGGTCATAGGCCCCATCCCCAGTGAGGTCCCTAGAGGTCACAGGTTCCATCCCGCTTAGCGGTGCCCTCTAGGTTACACAGAAGAAACCCCGTTTTTCTTCGGGAGCGAGACCCGCAGAAGAAAGGCACAAGTCGCCCCGCAGTACAGGAGTCTCCTCCAGGGCCCTCGCGAGGGACCAGCACTTGTGGGGAGGGCCCGGCCTCCTACCGCTGAACAGCAACCCCAAGACTCTTAACCCGGCCTCATCAAAGAGCGCAAGCTGCCTGGGGTCTTCGATGACAGCGGATACTGAAGGGACCGAGGAAGGGATCGCAAAGACCCAGAAACCGCATCACCAGCCACAAATACTGCCGTCCACGCCACCGCGCGCCTTGACGTCCTTACGTAGCCCCAGACGCCGTGCGCGTGCGCTACGTGTTTTCCGGGAAGATGCGTCAGCGGGATGTGGGCGAGGCCTCGGGCTCTGGCTGAGCGCGATCCTGGAACGGAGGTTGGAAGACTCCAAGCTAGTTAAGGTCTCTGCGTTTCCGCTTGGTGGCGTCTCCCCTGCCCTGCGTGCCCCGTTAATAGCAGTAGGCTGGAGCTGCGTCGTCTGAGAAGGGTCCTGTAGCCAAAGAAATGGGCAGGGCAGACCTCTGGCCGACTTGAGCCCCAGTGGTGGGCCTTCCCGCGGGGCCGCTCAGTCGGGTAACTGTGGAAGAGGGGGACTTGAACGCAGGGACTTGGGAATGGACAGGAGCCTGCCTGTGGACCAACTCGTGGGAGAGTGGTGCAGATGGAAAGGCAAATACGAATTCGACTTAGTGATTTAATTTCCCCATTGTCTCATATGGGAAAATAAGGGAAGGAAAATTCCCATCACATCTCCCCTTTCAGGATTCATTCTCTCTCCTTTTCAAGTTTATGCAAGTCTTTTTAATGGCTGAATAACCTTATGGCTACTCTTAAGGAAGGAATATTACCTAGGAGCCATCTCTTAAAAAGTGTTCTGGAGCTCTTGGGTAAAGGCCCATGGCTTGCGGGTGGTAGGGACAGGTATTTCCCAAAAGACCTGGCAACCCACCCTTCTCATTATGCCAATCAAAGAGACCAGCAATGATGAAGGGCATGAAAGGAGTTTTAATCAGCATGGCCACGCTGTGAAGAACAGGTATAGGGGTACAACCAAAGAGTTGTCTTCAAGAGACGTCAGAAACTTTGAGGTTTTATAGAAAAGAGGAAAAGGGCTCTGGATGTGGCTCAAGCGGTAGCGCTCGCCTGGCATGCTTGCAGCCCGGGTTCGATCCTCAGCACCACATACAAACAAAGATGTTGTGTCCGCCGAAAACTAAAAAATAAATATTAAAAGAAAAAATAAAAGGAAGAAAGGCAAGAGTTGGGTCCTGTGTGGTTGGGGCGGTGGCATAACTAGCAGAGGAGTTTACGTTGGTCAGGCCATTGGTCTGGTTGATCATTATCTGAGGATTGGTTCAGCTAGGAGGCTTCAGAGAAGTCCTTATTCCTTGAGGGAGCAATTAAATTCCCATGAAATGATTGCTTCTGCTTGTGGGGCCAGGAGGTGATCTTACCATGGTGTGGCCTGTCTGCCAGGCTCTGCCTTTCCTGGAATTCAAGGTGACTGTAGGTTTAGGACAATGAAGACTTCTAGGTGGTATTCCAAGAGGTATGGAACAGGACATTGTGAAAACTGAATGTCCCCCGTCAGTAGCATAAATCTATAATTCTAGTGACTAGGGAGGCTGAGGGGGGGGGATTTCAAGTTTGAGGCCAACTTCTGCAACTTAGGAAGACCCTGTCTCAAAGAATAAAAAGTGACAGGGATGTAGCTCTGTGGTAGAGAGCCCCTGGCTTCAATCCCCAGTAATATAAACAAGTAAATAAATAAATAATAGAAATAAATAATAATATATATTTATAATAAATAAATAATAGAAAGGGCTGGGGATGTTGCCCATTGGTAGATTGGCCCTGGGTTCAATCCACAATACTATAAAATAAAAAAACTAAAACAAATCCTAAGTGTCCCAGCAAATCTTGAAAAGACTTTCAATGCTCTTACCTTGGTAACCTTAGTCTTGAAGAGAGTCAAGATATGTAAACCCTTTTTTTTTTTTTTTCAGTGCTGGAATTGATCCCAGGTCTTCCTGTATATCATATCAGGCAGATGCTTTATCATTGAGCCATATCCCCAATCCGTGTTATGTAAATTTTAGAATGAAGTCTCAATTAATTTATAGTATCTAGTTTCTGGACCTTAAAATTATGAAGGACCAAACCCTCCACTGGATAACAAACACCCTCAGAAGTATAGTCATCCTGTGTGCCCCCCCCCCCCCCCCCGCAATGGAAGCAACCTTGCAAGCCTCATAACATCTTTTTGGCTATAACTGTTTTGTATCTAGAGCCAAGTTACTAATTTTCTTTGCAGGCGTCCATCTGTAGGATACCAGAATATGCCATCCCAAAATATGCCTCATTGATGTAAGGATTATTTTAAGAAACAGCATAAGCTATGAAAACAGCATAAGCTACTCTTTTGGAAGGGAAATTTGCATTTATAAATCTCCATTTGAAAGGGTGTCTTCCACTCTGCACCAGGAAGAGGATGACTAAGTCAGTAGAGGTTGTTATTAATGGAGCAGGGACAGATTTAAATCTGTGTAACAATCAGGTGTGGTGGTAAATGCCTATAATCACATTTGGGAGACTGAGGCAGGAGAACTACGAGTTTGAGGTCAGCCACAGCAATTTAGCAAGGCCCTATCTCAAAAATAAAAAGTTCTAGTTATATAGCTCAGTGATGAAGCACATCTGGCTTCAGTGCCCAGTCAGTACCAAAAAAAAAAAAAAAAAAAAGTGCCCATTAATTCTGTGTAACAAAACTTTTTGTGTGTGTGTGTGTGTGTGTGTGTCTTTCTTTTTTGTGGTACTGGGGATTGAACCCCAGGGCACCTTACCACTAAGCCACATTTCCCAGCCCTTTTTATTTATTTTGAAACACAGTCTCATCAAATTGCTTAGGGCCTTGCTATTTTGCTAAGGCTGGCCTTGAACTTGTGATCCTCCTGCCTCAGCCTCTCAAGTTGCTAGGATTACAGGCATGTACCACCACACCTGGTAGTCTCTTTTACTGTGTTTTTCCTGGTTACCTTCCCATAACTGACACCCCCCACCCCTTGACACACACACACTCTTGTTTGTTTTTAGCTGTAGATGGTTTTTAATCCTGAATTCTAAGCTACCTTTTAGAGACTACCAGTTTTGGGGGATATTTCTCTCGTATATGAAGTCTACATGATAATACATGTTTGTTTTTCTCTCATTAATTTTGCTTTAATGGAAATTTAGGACAATTATTTTTCCTCCCCTACACATGCCACTTGGCTTAAAAGAACAATGGAATAGCTCATTTTGTGATTTTGGAGGAAGTTTTTTTTTTTTTTAAGTGTTCCAATAAGTAGTTAAAATACTGCTGATGTAGGTAGGAAGCAAGTTCATGTAGTTTCTCAGTATGACTATAGTCAAAAGATGAGTACTTAACATGTGCAAGGCCCTAGTTTCCATCCTCAGCACAGCAAAATAGAAAAGAGAACTGCAATACTGCAACTGATCTTTGATTATGTGAGCTTTATGTTTTGGTACTGTTTCTTCTTTTTTTAACGTATCCAACAAATATTTTATTTTTTGTTCTTTTTAGATATTCATGACAGTCGAATGTATTGGAGGATGGGTATCAGGGACTGAACTCAGGGGCACTAGACTACTGAGTTACATCCCCAGCCCTTAGGATGTATTTTGACCTATTATACATACATGGAGTATAACTTATTCTAATTAGGATCCCATTCTTGTGGTTGAACATGATGTGGAGTTACACTGGTTGTGTCTGATTCATTCTACTGTTTTTTCCTATTCCCATGTCTCCTCCGTTCCCTTAATTCCCCTTTGTCTAATCCAATAAACTTCTATTCTTCTCTTCTCTCCTTATTGTTTGTTAGCATTGCATATCAGAGAGAACATTTGGCCTTTGGTTTTTTTTTTGGAATTTGCTTATTTCACTTAACATGATAGTCTCCAGTTCCACCCATTTACCAGCAAATGCCATAACTTCATTCTTCTTTAAGGCTGAGTAATATTTCATTATGTATATATGCCACATTTACTTTATCCATTTATCTTTTAAAGGGTATCTAGGTTGGTTCCATAGCTTAGCAATTGTGAATTAAGCTGTTATAAACATTGATGTGGTTTCATCACTATAGTATACTGGTTTTAAGCCCTTTGGGTATAAACTGAGGAGTGGGATAACTGGGTCAAATGATGGTTCCAGTCCAAGTTTTCTGAGCAATCTCCATACTGCTTTCCATAGTGTTATCAATTGACAATCCCACCAGCAATGTGTGATGTACCTTTTCCCCCCACATCCTTGCCATCACTGTTGCTTATATTCTTGATAATTGCCATTCTCACTGGAGTGAGAGAGAATCTCATTGTAATTTTAATTTGCCTTTCTCTAATTGCTTGAGATGTTGAATATTTTTTTTCATACATGTTGCCATTTTTATTTCTTCTGCGTCAAGTTGGCACTGCTTCTTATTAGTTGGATAATAAAACAAGCATCTTCCCTTCTCTAATGAATTTTTTGGTTATCATTTTATTTGAAAGCTCAGTCCATCAAGAGAACCCAATTTTGGGGTCACAAATATACTCTGACACTCCATAGTTACTTACCTTCCTGGTTCTCTTCCTTCATTTCATAGCAGAGAGCCCTGAGTTAGGACAAGCTACGTCAAGACCCAGTGGTCCTACGATATCTTTTTTTTTTTTTTTTAATATTTACTTTTTAGTTTAGCTGGACACAAAGGTATTGTACCTTTTTTTAAAAAACCCAGGGCCTCACACCTGCTAGGCTAGCACTCAACCTCTGAGCCACAACCCCAGCCCTGGTCCTAGGATATCTTAAACAAAGCACTTAACCTCTTTGGGTGGGTGTTAGTTTTCATGTTAGTAATCTGGAATTTCTCCCCACTCCTCCCTTTGAGACTGTGCCTCACTATGCTATTCAGTCTAGTCTTGAATTCCTTCCTACCTCAACCTCCTGAATAGCAGGGTCTATAGGTGTGTTCTGGAATTAACAGACCTACTCTGTCTCTTAGGATTTTGACATTATGAGAAAAGGGATTTGTATACTGTAAAATGATTGGGTGTATTTACTAAATGCTACATGTAAAACATGAGTTGTATTACTCTGCTTTTACTTGCAGAACCAAGTTCTCACCTTTGGAGTCTGATATGCAATACCCATGTAGTCTTTTTCTCTCTCTCCTCATCTAACCCCTTCAGAACACTACAGTTCTGTAATACTTACCTATATCTTGAACAAATCACAAC